TCACATATCTAGTAAAATGTTTGAAAAGCTGCATTTGAACTCATGTCTTATTGACTCCAGGCAGCTGAGTGGTAGAGCAAGGGGCCTGAAGTCAGAGAGACTGATCTTCCTGAACCCAAATCTGAACTCAGACACCTACTAGCTGTATGAGGGTAGGCAGGTCACTTAACCCCATTTTCCTCAATTTCTACATCTGTAAAATGAGCTGGACAAGGAAATGGCAAACCCCTCCAGAATCTTTGCCAAGAAAATAGAAAATGGGGTCACAAAGAGTGAACATAATTCAAAAACTGAAACTTTCCAGCTTGCCCTAGGTAAATTGCAGAAAAGAAGCCAGATTTCTTTCATTTTAGACTTATTTTTACATCTGCAAGGTGACCCAGCCCATTCTCAGCATAGAGGGAAAGATAAAGGGAATTAGTCATTCGCTAAGTATGTATATGAAGTGCCTACTATATGTTTCACAATGTGCTAAGCACTGGTGACATAAAAAGAAAATTAATCAATCCCTGGTTTCATTATATCAGGAAAGAGAACATGTAAATAGATAAGTTAATGCTGTGGATATATACAAAATTAATCAATAAATAAATTATTAAACAACACATATTAAACAATTTCTGTGTGCAAGGTACTCTTGCTTTGGGATCACAAAGAAAAAAATGGAAATAGTCTTTGCCCTCAAGGACTTTAAATTTTATCAGGAGATACAACATTCCTTTATAGATATATATAAAATTGATATAAGGTGATGAGGAAGGGGGAGGGGAGGAAGAGGAATGAGCTCCTGTTGGGGAAGACCATGAATAAGGAAAGAACTCTAAAAGGAGTTAGCACTTGAGCCTTCAAGGGAGCTACCTGTTCTAAGAAACAGAAGCAGGCCTATCAGGAGTGAGTTACGGCCTGGGCAAAGACTTAAAAGTCAGGAGACGGAATTTGCTTTATGGGGAAATGGCAATTAGGCCCTTTTGGCTTCAGCAAACTGAGTTAGGGGCAATAATCTATAATCAAACCTGGAAAGATTGTTTGGAGCCAGATTTTGAAGGGCTTTAAATGCCAAGTGGATGAGTTTGTATTTTGTCCTAATAGCAATCGGGAACCACAGAAGCTTCCTGAGCAGAAGAGTGATCTGATTACATCTTAGCTTCAGCAATATCAGTTCCAATTTTGTTGGGGGGGCTAGACTGAAGGGGGTGTGGGAACCGTATACAATAAGACCAATGAGAAGGATACTGCAATTGTCCAAGTAAGAGGTGGTAAGGGTCTGAACTAGGGATGTTGAACAAAGGAGAACTGCCAATTCTCTAGTTTCTCCTAAGTTAGTACTCGACAGTGTGATTTTGTTATAATAAGTACTATGAATTCCTAGAACAATATTCATAATTAAATATAAAAACTCTTTCTGGTTTACAGTGACAAATACTATTAAAAGAGAATCTATACAAAATTATTTTGTTAACCTTACTCTGTAATCAAAAGGGTAATTATAGTGACTATCTAAGAAACTCACTATAGTTTTTTATTGGGGTGTGTTATTCTTTATCATTTCTGGATTTAAATAATATTGCTGTACTGTGAATTGTTAAAGGTTAAATTCCTAATACTTATTCCACCACTCAGTTAGCTGAGTTTCAGTGGTGCATGAAATGATTCCCATTCATTACAAGGCATTGTAGGATGTCACAATATGAAAGGTGAGAGAGAGAGAGAGAGAGAGTGCGAGCAAGCCAAGTGAGCGAGCAAGCTCGGTATATATATGTATGTATAGTGAATGCTATTTTTTATTATTATTAGTTGTAATGGTGGTAATAATTATAAACTCATAACTCACATATTGCAAGTGCAACTAAGATGTTAACTAAAGAGATATACTAATTAAAATATTTCATTTATTACATAGTATTATGCTATAGGATGTTTGTATATGTATAGATGATTTTTTAAAAAGAGTGAGAGAGACTATTAGACTAATAACTGAACTAAGGCTAAGACTTTTGAGACATCCTGTGTCTATCAATGGATGGACCAGTGATTTCACTGGTGCAGGGGAAAGATAATGAGCCAATAGAGAAGTGAAAATTTGTACTTTGTAGTCTTAGAAAGTTGCCTGGGGAAATGAGAGGTTCAATGATTTGTCAATGGTACACAGAACTAGTTTGTGTTAGAGGCATGACTTGAACCCAGTCTTTCTGATCCCCAGACCAACCCTCTAGTATGCCATATTGCTTCTCTTGCTATGTATATAGTACATATAAACCACTATATTCTATAGCATATATTTATAACCAGAGTTTTTTTAATACCATAAATCAAGTGAAGAGGGGAAAAGTAGCTTCAACAGCTTAAAACCACCTTTCCATTAAGACATAATGTGTTTTACTTAACAGACTAAGTGCTGTTTCTAGGTGCTAAGTACACCTTTCCATCTCCAGGCTTGATTTATTTTACAGCTTCCAAAACCTGATAACAGAGTCCTTCCTATGCAAGAGTTCCAATTTGTGTTTCTGTTCTAAGTCCAGTGTCTGACACCTTTCACATTCTGACCTCAGCATAACAAATAACAGAGATTTCACTGTGTGGCTTTCCCTAGTGAACTGTAAATACTAGATGTAATTTCAATACCTGCCACATTCAGAAATTTTTTAGGAAGAAATCTCTCCAATAAGAGCTCCTACCATTCTTTGTCTTCCTTTTAAATGTTCTATTTTTATTTAAAGAACCATCCAGTAGTAGAGTTTTGTTTGTTTTGTTAATTGGGAGGGGGATAAAGGAAGAGGAGTACTTCCCTATGGCCCCTAGCCAAAATCCTCTGGCGTTCACAGTCCTTTAGAACCTAGCCCCCTCCAGTTTTCCAGTCTTTGTACACCTCACTACCCAGTTACTCTTCAGTCCAGTAACGCTGGCCTCCTTGCTGTTCCCCTAACAATCTCCCAACTCTAGGCATTTTCTCTGGTTCTTCACATCTGTAAAGTTCTTCTTCCTTGTTGCTGCCTACTGACTTCCACGACTTCCTTTACCCCAGTCAATATTTCATCTTCTACCAGAAGCCTTTGCCGATCTCTCTTAATCCTAGTGTCTTCCCTTCCTTATTTCCTATTTATTTTGTATATAGCTTGTTTGTACGCATTTGTCTCCCACAGTAGATTTTGAGTTCCTTTTTTTTTTTAAACCCCATCGTTTAAAACAGACCCTGGCACAGATTTATTGAATAACTGAGTACCTACCTGCCCTAGGTTAAGCACTTGCCAGCTCCAACTGTAACATAATACAATGACTCCTTATCCCATTCCTCCCCTTACTTCCTCGCCCTACCTCCAAACATTTCTATCGGAATCTAAAGCCAAGGTTAAGTTATTCACAAATGCCTCTCCCTTCAATTTTATCTTTAGAAGAAGATGAGAAAAGGCCCATCACCCTTAACCCTACTGTATTCAATTTCTTCAACTAGTCACCAAAAAGAGAAAAAATATTAAGTCTAATTTCATCTGTAGTTGCTAAGGGCATGCTTTCCTCCATTCCCCTCACACACAAATAAGTACTGAAAACAAGAGAAATACACCTAGTGAGTGTCTTGTCACAAGTTCACTTCCAAGATCTTAGGAACCTTAGAGATTGTCTAATCCAACCTCTTCGTTTTATGGATAAGGAAACTGAGACCCAGAAATCAAATAATTTGCCTATTGTCACACAAGTCGTAAATGGAGGAACTGAAGTTTGAGCCCAGGTCTTCTGATTCTACACCCAGTTCTCTCCAATGTACCACAAACCTCTCCAGACAGAAAAAGTGCTATCGTGAGTGTGGATACACTCTCCACCCATGCGGATCACAGCCCCTCTCTGCCTTAGTACATATCTTCCGGGGTTACAGTAGCAAAACAAACAAACAAAAAAACTACTCGAACACTTCTATGGTCAGGATCCTCACTCGCTGGTTGACATAGTCATACCTCATTGTATTCACACTTTAAAAAAAAGAAAAAACCTTTCCCTTTATAGCTTCGGCACATATAAAGATATATTCCTCATCTTGGCTTCTATATCCCCTCTGGGCATTTGCGTTTTCAGCTCGAAGAGTGAGTGGTAGGGAGTTGGAAGGGTGAGTCAGCACCCTCTCTCACCAAGAAACATCGAACCCCTATGAGAGGAACTCAGGAGGAACCATCCAACAAATAAAAGGTAAAAAACTTGCTAGTCCCCCTAGGAAGGCTCTCCCGGGGCAGGAACCTGAAGAAAGCGCATGCCGCAGTTTGGCAAACTTAGACAGACCCTGGCACCGCCTGGCTCCAAGTTACTGCCCTCTAGACAGAGTTGGCGCGGGAAAAGAGCGGCGAGCCGGTCGCCTTCGCTCCCGCCCTCCGAGGGTCCCTTCCCTTGGCCGTCCTGCCCCAGGTGCTCCTCGGGATCCCGAGGGTCCTGAGGCCGGGGGTAAGGGGGGAACCCGGGTCTGTGCTAGGGGGCCGGGGTGCAGGCCCCAGGAGAGGGCGCCCTGCGCACAGCGGAGCGCACCCGGTACCTCCCGGAGCCGGCCTCCCCTCCCGGGCCCGAGGCGCCCCGGCCAGCTCGGCTCTGCCCCAAACCCCGCGCAGGTAGGGCCAGGCCGGGCCCGGCCCCGCCCCACCCCGCCCCGCCCCTCCTTCGCTCCGGCTGCCGCGTCAGGCTGCTCCGCCTTCCCCGGTTCTCCCCCCCACCTCCTCCTCATCCTGCTCCAGCTCCTGCTCCAGCTCCTGCTCCCCCTCCCGCTCTCCCTCCTGCTCCCCCTCCTCCCAGGCCGGCGGCGGCAGCGGCGGCGGTAGCAGCTGCAGCTCCCCAAGTTTTGACAGTTTCGCTGGGGGCTCCGGCTGGAGGGAGGGGCGCTCCGGAGCGGGCGACGGACAGCGCGGACCCAGCCTCGCTCCTCCTCCTCCTCCTCCTCGCCCGCACCCTCACACGGTCCCCTGCCCGCGGCTCGCCCCCCAGAGGCACGCCGTCCGGGGAGACGGGAGCGCCCCCGGGCCCTCGGCCTCAGCGCAAGCTCCCCGGGAAGGCGGCGCGGCCCCGGACCCGGGGACGGCACCGCCTCCTTCCTCCTCTCTGTCCCAGAGGCAGGCACTGAGACTCCCGGCTGAGTCGCAGAGACACCCGCACCATGTCTCGGGGTCCGGAGGAAGTGAGCAAGCTCACCGAAAACACCTACCGAGTAAGGGACTGGGGGACCCGCAGTGGCCAGGGAAAGGGCTAAGAGTGGTGGGAGGGAACTGTTGGGGGGGGTCTTCGTGAGGATTGAAGAGAGACCCTGGAGCACTCGAGGGATGCCCAGAAGGGTTTGCTGGGGAGGTTGGGGGAGGTTGGGGGAGGTGGGGGAGAAGGTGGGGAATCTTCCTGGGATTTGTAGATTGATGCAAGACCACCTTTTGTGTCCCTGGTTAGTGAAGGAAGAACGGAAACAGTTCTCCCAGCCCAGAGTTGTTTGCTCTCTCCAGTCTGGGCTGGGGGTAATTGGGATTGAAATGGAAGGAATGGGGCGGGGGTAGGGGTGGGGGGAGTTGGGCGGTGAAGGAAACAGCCTTTACCTATCTCCTGGAGGCTCAGCTAGGAAAAACTCAAGTCTTTCATCCCCACGGCTGGGTTTTGTGGCAGAAATTTCTCCCACATCTACTACTTAAAGGACGCGATCCAAGAGAATCAAACTCCCTTACGTTAGTCGGAGTAGTCAGAGGTTGACTTGGATTGATGTAAATAGCCAGATTTATCGTCCCAAGAGGTAAATATTGATCAAGGCAAGAATGGTGTTTTCCAGCAAGAATTTTTTTTTCTACATAAACATTTATAAGAACTCTTTGGATTTTAGGGACATAAAGCCAATCTTTTTTTTTTTAAGTAATAATAATGAATTTGCTGTAAGAAACTTAAACCCTGGGAAAAGGAGCTTCCCTTGAAAATTTTCCCATTTTTCACCAAACCACACCCAAAATTATAGTTAAAACACATAAAGTTCGCAGTGGCATTACTATTACATGTTTTTCAGAAGCCGAAAAAGGCATCCAGTGTCTAGTCTTAAGAAAATAATACTCACAAGAATGTGAAAGAGAAACTCCCCATTTAATTAAGAATTGCCAGGTGAGCAATAGCTCATTTGTAGTTCCTACAGCTGAAAAGGCTTTATTGTAGTACACTCATCTTGTTGGATTTTACTAAAGTGGCAGTTGGTCTACTTTTCAGTAGATCTTGAAACACCCTTTTCTTTTTATACCTTCTCTCATGTTAAACTGGTCTTTGATATATGCCGATTATGATTGTGAAACATTTTGAGTCAACAAAAACTCAAGGTTTTAATAAAGTGGATGTTCCTTTTTTATTCGTGGCTAGCATTTATGTTTCTTAAGGATTTTTAAATATTCAATAATGTATTTTACATTTGTATGAGCATTTTTCCAGAAACAGAAAGTTATGGTGAATGATCTATTCAGTAATTAGTTTTAAGTATTTGTAAATGAATTCCTTTTGAAATAAGATATATACTAATTATTTATAGACTGCAAAGCGACTTTTGTTTTAGTTCAGGTTATAAATATAACAACTTTTTAATATCTAGTAGATTCAGACATGTGACTTCCCTAAACTCCATAGATTTTTTTTGAGGCCTATGTAATTTTTTTTTTTACCTCAAGACTTAGTTTGTGTTGCCTAACTGTATTCTTAAAATAAGAAGAACCTTTAGTTTTTTCCTGGGGTAATGCGAGAGGCTAAAAATGTTTCCATAATTTAACCCCATGGATCCCAAAGACTAAACTGCTTTTTCATATGTATGCACAAAATGTACCTACAGTTAATTTTAAATTGTTCTTTTAATTTTTTTTAACATACATTTAGCACACATTGATTCTGTACAGTACTGTCCCTAACTGAGCTACTGTTGGCATCAAATGAAAGGGCTTGTTTGAGAAAATACTCTGTGTGTGTGTGTGTGTGTGTGTGTGTGTGTGTGTGTGTGTGTATGTATGTATGTATGAGACAAATACCTATGACTGATAGATTTAACAAGGTCATGCTTTGGGGCCCATTAACCTTGACCAGATTGCTTCCCTTATAATTATGTTCCCTTTCATAGTTGTCAGGTTTTTAAATTTCCAGAGACTTGAATGTTAATATTTTATACTTAAATTGAAAAAATATTTTGTGTAAGTCAATATATCGATGATTCTATAGATACATGGTGAACATGGTGTGACTGTGTGCCATATACATTTGGTATAGTGGATAGAATGCTGGACTTGGCATCAGAAAGATCTTGGGTTCAAATGCCACCTTAAACACTTATTAGTGTCATTTTGTGCAAGTCACTGAACCACTTTTGGCATAAGTTTCCTCATCTGTAAAATGAGGGGGTTGGATTAGGTCACCTCTAAAGTTCCTTCCAGCTTTCAGTCTGTGATTTATGATTCTATGAAATAAATGCCTATCCTTCTGGAGGCAAGGAATAGTTGCCATTCAGCCTGGTTGATGACTGATTGTCAAGAAGGAAAAGTTTTCACACGCTGCCTTCCATGCACAAGGTAGGGACGGGGTAGAGTATGAATATGAATCTGCATATGTCAAACTTTTTCTATATGTTGGTTAGGTTTTTTCCCCCCTCTTTTTTTATTCTTTGTTATAAGGAATAGCCCTCTGGGAAGGTAAGGGATATGTTGTATTCCCTGTGCTTTGCTCCTAGCAAGCACCTAATAATTGGGTTTTTTATTTATTTATTTATCCATGTGATGTAAAAAGCAAAAGATATCAACAAAGTGTATTTTAAAATTTAGCATGCTCTCATTCTATGACATGCTGTCATTGTCATACAATGACATCAAGATGGCACTGACCCTGAAGTCAGGAAGATCTGAGTTCAAATCCTGCTTTAAAAACTTAGTAGCTTTATAGACTATGTACAAAATATGTACAAAACTCTAATTTTTTTTTAAAGGTTGTAAACCTCCTCGAGGGTACAGGAAAGGAAGGAAAGGAATAAGCACTTATGTAGTGTTTACTATGTGCCAAGCAATATGCTATGCATTTTACAAATATTATCTCATTAAGTCTTTTATAACAATCCTATGAGGTAAGTGTTGTTGTTGTTCCCATTTTACAGTTGAGAACACTTCAGCAGAGGTTAAGTGACTTTCTCAGAGTCACACAACTAGTATGTGAGGTGAGATTTAAACTGGGGTCTTTCTGACCAGCACTCTATCCAGTGCAGTCCCTTTATATTGCTGTATCTCTCTAGGACCTTGCACATATCTAAGCTCAAGAAATGTTTGATGATGGTGAATTTTAGTCATTTTTTTCCTCAATATTTTGGGTCTACATTTTTATCTAGTGTTTGGGAGTGGAAGTCTAAATTTACCATGTAAAAAACCAAAACAATATCATCTGTGCAATATAAAACTAAAGCTGATCATGGATGGTTTCATTAAAACATGACTGTCCCTCACTTTTTTGCATGTACAGATTGGAAGCCTTGAAAACCTCCATTACTCATACCCTATATTCCCCATAAACAAATCAGAAGCTAAACCCTTTTGAAATGAAAATTCATATGGCATGGCATCAGCAGGAGTGCTTATTATAATTCTTTTAAGTGTTTTCTGTGTCCTTTGCATTATCTGCCAAGCTGCTATATCTTTATAATGCAAAACACAAAATAACCAGTTGCATTTACAGAAGTCAGCTCCAGTATGTGGTTTGCAGAAATGGGTTTTAATTTCTGTAACTTTAAAGGAACAAATGCTCTAGAGGAAGAGGAAGATTAAAATGGCCCTTCTTTGTCTAGCTATCAAATATCTTTAAATATTTATTTGTTGTTTTTTTTTTTATGTGACTGTGCAAGTATTTAAGATGATATTCTCACAGATTTAGGTTAGGTTTAAAGTTAGAAGGGAGCTTAAAGGCCATCTATTCTAATTCCCTCTTTTTACAGATGAAGAAACAAAGTGCCTTGACTATGGCCATTTTGTTGTTGAGTCATTTAAGTCATGTCTGACTCTTTGTGACCCCATTTTAGGGTTTTCTTGGTAAAGACACTGGAGTGGTTTGTATTTCTTTCTTCAGCTTATTTTACAGATGAGGAAACTGAGGCAAACAGGATTAAGTGACTTGCCCAGAGTCACACTGCTAGTGTCTAAGGCTAGATTTGAACTCAGGAAGGTGAGTCTTCCTGACTCCAGGCCATTCAGTCACCTAGCTGCCCAGACTAGGGTCAATAGCTATTAAGTTTCAGAGGAAGGATTTAATGGTAGGTCTTCAGGTCTAGGACTAACCACTACACCTTGCTGCATGTTCACCATCAGGGGAATTTTCATGATAATATTTTAAAAACAAATGGAAACTAATAAACACACCAAAATGTTGAAGAAGTGTACTGTTAGAGATAAATGCAAATATTTTGTCAGGTCAAGTGTTTGGGGAGTCTAATGAGTTAAATTCTCTACCATATCCTGAATTTGCCCTCACACACTTGCTGTATTGCATGATTTCCTGATGAATATACATTACCTTAGTGACACTTTAAGGAAACAAAGCTTGAGGGTGAAGTAGCATATAATTAAACAGAGCTATATAACCTTCCTAGAAGTTAGGTGTTGAGGAAGTCTTTGATAATTCATGGGTGTGACATCATCTAGCCACTGTTTTTAATGCTGTCCTTCCCATACACTAAGGAATTTGAACAAGAGCAAGGGAATGCCATTTTCCTTTCCAAATTTTTTTCTGTGTGGATACAGGCATTTAAATGTGTATATGGCAACAGTGAAGGAGAAAAACTACTAATTATTCCTGCTATAGAAAACTTTGCAGGAACAAACTTTTACATGTGAGTTGTTATTCAACTTCTTCCTCTTAACTAATGTAAAAAACTCAATAAACTATAAGCTGCATTTTGGTAATTTATGAAGACATCAACATTTTGTGTGGTATTCATCCCTTTAAATCTTTTCACTGCATTTTTTGCACCTACCTATATAGGTTATTTTTTTTAAGTTGAAGATCTTTTTTGCAATCTTATAACCCAAATAAGCATAAACAGGCATATTATTTTCTTATCATGATTCTTTTTCTCCCTTGCTGCTTATTCTGTGATTTGTTAAGTGAAAGTCAATGTCCAATTTCCATTAATCCACATCAAGTACAGGTGCAAGTTATTTATTTGAAGTTTCAAAACGC